ATGGTGAGATGCTTTGATTTCTTTATTTTCCATACCTTCATTGTGATTACAATTAGAATTAACTAAAATATTGTATAGTTATAACAGTCTACTTCAGCTAATCAACCTCAATTGCATATAAAAACTACATTATTAATTTTCTCCATAGACTTTATATTATTAATATCAAAATTTACATCATTTTGCATTGTGTAATCATGAACATATTTTATATAATTGTTTAAAAAAATTTTGTCTTTAACTTTTATACTAGAATTGAAAAAGCAATTTCCACAGTACTGTTACAATGTTACATTATTCTGTACTTATTTATGTATTTACCTTTAGCAGCAAGTTTTATACTTCCATATGCATTGATGGTGCTTCTTAGCTTTTTTTTTTTTCAACTTGAAGAATTCTCTTTTTTAACATTTCTTGTAAGACTGATCTTGTAATAATAGACTTTTTCAGGTTTGTTTGGGTATATCTTTATGTCTCTTCGATTTTAAAGGACAGTTTTACCAAGTATTGTATTCTTGGTTGGCAGTTTTTACCTTTCTGCATTTTGAAATATTCCACTGCCTTTCAAAGTTTCTGCTGAAAAACCCAGTGACTGTCTTGGGGAAGTTCTCTTCTATGTGACGTGTCCCTTTTCATTGGCTGATCTCACAATTCTCTTTGTGTCTGACTTTTCACAATTTGATTGTAATGTCTCTCACTGTGGAATTGTTTTGTTCCTCTTATTTGGATTTCCTAAATGTAGATATTCCTTTTTTTTTTCCAAATTTCAGAAGTTTTTTTTCCATTATTTTTTTGAGTAAGTTTTTGTCTTTGTCTTTTCTTTCTTGGACATTCATAATTTTAAATATTGGTTTATTCAGTGGTGTCCTATAAGCCACCGAGATTTTTCTTTATTCTTTTTCACTTTTTTTTTCCTATTATGCCATTGACTGGCTTATATCAAATGACCTGTCTTCAAATCCAGTGATTCTTCTGCTTGATCTAATATGATGTTTTGATGTAGATTGAATTTTTCTATTGAATTTTTTCATTTCAGTTACTGTTTTCTTTCAGGTCAAGAGTTCTTTTGGCTCATATGAATCTTTGCTAAAATTTCATTTTGTTCATGCATTTGTCTCCCAAGTTCATTTTGAACACTGCCAGGAAATTCATATGTTATGTGTCGGTAAAATTGGGGTCTTGGAGTTTTATCTTGTTCCTTTTGGACAGGCATGTTTTCCTAATTGTTCATTTTCCTTGTCTCTTAGTGTCAGTACCTGAACATTAGAACAAACAACCATCTTTTCCAGTCTTCATGAACAAGATTTGTATACAACAAGACCCTCAGTAGGAAGCCCTGCCAGGGACCTTTCAAACTCTCTGTATATGTGTCTTTGCTGGATTTATTTGCGTAAACTGCCAGTTAGGAGATTTGCCTGTTTCTTTTATCTTTCTTTCTTTAATTCACAATCTTTTGATGCTTCTATTTTCTGTCTGTGGTATCACTAGTTTTCTGATGCAGCAGCACACCAGGACTCCTTTGAGTTCTCAGAGGCACACAGACATCTAGATTATACCAGGTCTCATGAATGCTCTGAAAATGGTAAGACTGAAGCCAGTTCTGATATTTGGCATATGTTTCTTTCTCCTCTCTTCTTCCCAAAAGTAAGCCAGACTCTGGGATTCTCAATGATTATTTTGTGCTGACCAGGAGAAGGGCTCTGGCAGATGACTGCATAGTAGTCCAACCTTTGCCTTTATTCTCAGTGGCCCGCATGCATCTAGAATATGCTGGGTCCCGTCAGTGCTCTTAGACAGGTGAGATAAAGTCAGTCCCTTATACAGCCTCTGAAAATTTTGGAACATTGCATACTTGATCCAGCTCTTTCCTTCCAAAGAGAAGCTGAGATTTTGTGATTTCTTTACCCACTTTATCATACAATGAAGACAGGTTATGATAATTACTTACACGATAGTCTAATCTGCCACCTTTTCCCCCAATAGCTAACAGGTATCTAAAAAATGTGCCAGGTCCAATCAGTGCTCCAGGAGAAACAAGATATAAGCCAGTCTCTCTGGCAGCCCCTGAAAAAGTTGGAAACTTACACATACAGTCCAATCCTTTTTCTCCTCAGGAACTGGAATTTGGTAGTTTTTAACCTTCTTCTTTTTCTGCTCTACTGAAGTTGAGAGTCTATAGCAGGTGCTTGCTTGCTCGTCCAAGCTGCCACCTTTGTTCTCAATGTCTCCTAGATTTCCACAGCATGCCAGCTTCTAACTTGCTTCAAGATAGGTGAGAAGGAACCAGTCTGTTGGGTAGAAGCCTATCCCTGGAAAATTTGGAATGTTGTACACAAAATCCATCTCTTTCCTTCCCCATGAAGAACCTGGGATTTGGGGGTTTCAGCAGTGCACTCTGTGCTGAGCCCTGGGGAGGTACCATAAGGAGTACCTGCTTGATAGATATCTTCCGTACTGCTCTTTTTGTTCTCATCCAGGGTCCCTTCTTTTCAGGGTTCAGATTCAGGTAAGAAGTAAACCAGTCCCTTGGGAAACCCTCAGGAAAGTCAGAAAATTGGACTTGGATGTACAGATCAGACCCTTCCTTCCTCCCTGGGAAGAAGCTAAGTGCTGCAGGTTCCTAGTGGTCTTTTGGCACTGTGTTGGGAAAGGGATTATGTTGTGAGGGTTTTATGGATTTTGCTGCCAGCTTCAATGTAGTTAGCTTCATGCTTCTCTCGTGAGAAATCTGGTTTTTGATTTTTCACAAAGGGATTCTATCTCTGTGTCTTTGCATCTTTGTGTCTTGGGGAGGCAGGAAGGAAAGGCCAGAACTTCCCATACCATTTCTCTGAGGTCACCTCCCAGTTTTTCTTTCTGCTTAGCTTTTTTTGCTTTCCTTCTGCCTTCTCCCTGCAGAGCTGCATTTCCTCCCAACACTGTCATGTTACTGGGCTAGTTTACCTGCCTTATTGCATCCAGCATGATCAAATCCCAGGTAGATCTGTCACAGGCTCATATTCACACACATGTTTATTAATACTTACCAATCTGAATTTGGCAGTATTTACAAATATGTTTCTCTGCATCTTTTGACTCAGTAACACATTTTGGGAAATTTTCTTGAGTTACAAGATATAGTTCCATTTTATAATGGTTATGTAATGTTCCATTATGAAACTGCTTCATTATTTTCTTCTTTTTCCTATTGAGGGTAGTTATCTTATTTCTACTTTTTCCCACTACAAATATTTGCACATGTTTTCAGATATTGAGGCTTTTATTTTGATGGGATAAAGTTTCTAGAGTAGAATTTCATAGCCAAAAGATTTCTCATAGTTTTAAGTTTGAATAAATGTCACATTGCTTTCCTTATATTGTAAGAATATAATTTACCCACAGAATGTGACAATGCTTACCAATCATGTCCCAGCCAGCCATGTGTGTTAAGCACCATTTAGACTTTGCCAGCTCAGTGGAGTGAAGGAATGTCTCTTTCCTAGTTCATGCTTATCTGACTATTGGCAAATTAATCTTTGGGCATATTTATTGTCCATTTGGATTAGCTTTTCTGATCATTGTTCATTTTTATTTTTTAAGTTTTTTTACATTTTCTTCTCAGAGGATTATATTTGATAGACAACCTTACTTTTCAGATTTATCAATTTTCCATTTAATATTTTAGGATACACTGAGTGTATATATATATATATATATATATATAGTGTGTGTGTGTGTATTTATTTATTTATGGTCAATATACCTGTGTATTTCTTCATAGCATTGGAGTGTTCTGTCTTTGGTATGCTTCTAAAATGACAGAATCTATATAGTCTCATGGATTTTATTGCAAAATTTTAAATTAGATATCTTTATTTAAAGTCTTTGGTTAACTGAAATGTATTCTTTATGTGATATAAGATATAGACACATTTTTATATTATACCTCTGGATACCCATTTGTTCCTGTGCTGCTTGCTAATACAACTTTCTCCACAATGAGTTGAATCGTAATCTTCAGAACATACTAACTGTGCATATGTTCTCTTTTTGTGGCTTAATTATTCTGTACATTAGTTTGTCTAATTGTCTATACCAGTGCCACATTGACTAAATCTGGTGATTTGTTAGTATGTTTTGGTATCTGGTAAGTTTTATCTAACTGTTTTTCTTTGAATGATACATTTTGGAGAGGAAGGGCAATTTTGAGACATGTATTCTTCCATGTGAAATTTGTGAAAATATATGTAATTCCAGGGGAAAAACTCTTCTTGTTTTTATTTTATTTGAATTAAATTTTTTATTCTGAAACACTCTGAATAAAAATAAATTTGGTCCTTAGAACAAGAGAGATAATCCAGAGATTAAAAACCCCCTCTAAAACATAAATACATGAAACAAAAGCATCTTATAAGACAGATCATACCTCAGCTGGAGCAACTAAGTGGCAATGTGGCCTAAGGGTCTGTGAATGCTTCTGAGAGGAGGCCAGCATGCCTCTTGGGACATCTGACCTATCAACTTTTTCTCAAGATAAATAGAAGCACATGTCCTACGTGAGATGTAGAACCTGTGGTCGGAGTGACCCCATTATTAGCATATTTATAGAATCAGTACAAGAAAGGAACAGTTCTTGGAGTAGGTGATCCTCAATGCCATCTTCCCATTGGGTAAGGTTATCTGGACAACTCAGGGAAGGAAAGTTGACTCATCTATTATCCCAGTTCAGCATAGGGATGGAGTGAATGTGGCTTGAGACTCTCTTATAGATGCGGAAGAAACAGGGAGGATGGAATTTTCCTAAGATTCAGACTGAGGAATAGGTTCAGTTAATAACAGTGCCTTGATTTGAAGGACCTATCTCGGAAATATCATGGATTTTTGATGGGATAGCCTAATTTTTAAAGTCTGAATGTGTTAGAAGATGTATCAGAAGCTTTAAATCTTGGAAAGTAAATTGTTAATGTATTGCAAGTGCCACCACCACACCTTCCTAATATCCTCCTTTACTGTATTCACAGGGAAATGTGTCCTTCTCGTGTTCACATCCTCAAACTGTCCCTGTGACTTTTCTGAGCTCAAGGAGTTATTTGGCTCTGCCTCACCCCACTGGAGAGAACTCAATAGCTGTCACTTTCCAATTTCGAACATGGAACCTAGCGGGGCTGTTGCTGAAAAGTCAGTTTCTACACTGGTCAGGGGCTCTTGTCCTTGTTCTTAGTGATGGAAAACTCAAGCTGAGCCTCTGCCCACCTGGCCAGCCAGTGAGAGCCGTCATAGCAGGTGAGACATCACAGTGCCTTTGTATAGCCATCAACATCCTTACCCATAAGCCTGAGAGCAGTCATTTTTGAATGAATAAAACATTGAAACAATGAGATATTCATAATCTCAGTAGAACTAACTACAGATTCTATTTTCCTTTTTAAATGGGAAACTCTACATTGCTCATGGGTGAGTCAATGTGACATAAGTCTGTTTACATGAAAGTATAGTTGTTACAGAGTTTAAACTGTGACTTTTATTATCTTAATTTGAGGGTTGGCAATCAGAGGTAAACTTGAAACACTAGAAAACATTAGCCTGATCCTAGATAGTCTTGAGAAAATGGTTGGATCTCTTTTAACTGTCTTTCACACCCACACACTCTCTGATTATCAAAATACAGACAGTCTGGGACTTAGAATAGTTTGACATAATATTTTTCAACTTTACAGTGGTGAAAAACCCATATTCATTTCGTAGAAATCATGCTTTGAACTTATAATTTTGACCTCCCTTGCCAGTCAGGTATATGGCAGATGCTCTCTCAGTGCTGGCAACAGCAGCCAGCCATGTTACCTAGGGAGTCTTGTTACCACAGAGGCCAACAACCAACACTGTGCAGTGTTCTGTGAGGCCAGTGGGTTTTTTGGATACAGGCATTTGATAAATTAAATGAGATATTCAACACTTTATTATAAAAATGGGTTTTATCTTATTTTTTTCAAGTATAAGCTAAAGTATGTTCTTAGCATGCTTAACATAGGCCAGTGTAAGTTATGATGTTTTGTAGGTTAATTAGGTTTGTTAAAAGAATTTTTGGCTGTGATATTTTCAACTTAAGATGGGTTTATTGGGAGGTAATTCCATAGTAATTTGAGGAGTGTCTATAATTTAAGTTATATTTTTTCCCCTTCTGTCAGAGCAGCTACCTTGGGTAGAGGCTACATGTTTTGGAGTAAAACTCCTATAACTTGTAGAGAATATCATCTTTGAACATTAGGGACCATTTTGCATATGAGAATTAATGATGGTTTAAACTCAGATGGAGCTGAGAATATGTCACTCCATGAATGTTGAATATGGAAGGGATATTTTGCTTAGGGTCTGAAAAGCTGGGAGTGAAAATAAAATTTTTCTTTCTTTTTATAAACCAAAAATTATTGACCACCAGCATACTGAATTTCCTTGTGAGCTGAACTGAGAGCATTAATTCAGTTAGTGACCCGAATCCTGGTTTGTTTAGCATTACAATCTGTATGCAATAGTAGCTGGAACTGTTTATATTTTTTACATGGAGATATAGGTTACCCCCATATGTATATATGTATACACACACACACATACACACACACACATTAATTGAACTTTTTTTTTGTTAGCCAGAACCCTTTTTCTTTTCTTTCTTTTTTTTTTTTTTTTTCTGTGTGTGGGGTGTCAGAGACTGTGAACCCAGGGCCTTGCACATACCATACCACAATTTTTAAGTTAGACTCGTTACATGGAAAGACCACAAGAGCATCCCCCCCCATTTTGGTTTGTTCTCCTAGTTCTAGGATTATGGAATTTCTTTCAGAATTCTGTTTCAGAGTTAATTTCATCAAATATGTTTTAGCATCTTAGCAAAATCCTCTATCTTCTTGTTTACAGATGTTCTCACTTTCTAGAGCAGGATCTATGACTTTTGGGGTCATGTTAGAAACATGACCTACATAAGAGAATTATGAGTCCCCAAAACCAAGTCACTAGTGGGAGATCAAGCAGAAGGAAAAAGCTGGTTTCTAGAGCATTTGCAGGAGTTGGATTTATGTGCTCATTTGGGCAAGGAATACTAAAATATAATAATTATATGTAAGACTGAACTTCAGCAGGAAGAAAGACCACATTTTATTTGGAGATTACATCTCCACTGGGCTACAAAATGACTTTTGATTCCTGCAGGTTGATTTTTATCCTTAAAAAGCTGTGACTAGTCTGTACCTTTATAATTTATTAGATACATTAGTTAACTATGGGACCTCCCTCAGGTGATAAGATTAGACTCAAGCAGGTTTCGTAGCATCCTAGAAATCAAGCATTCACTAATTTGTTGTTTTTAAGTGAATTAAACTTTTTCTCTGGGATCTTCTTATTTCTACAAGACAATTCCTAAAGATCTCAATTAATCACTCTTCCCTTCAGGGAAGTGTGCATCTGCCCCCTGAAGTAACCTCTTGTCCATTAATGTCAGACTTGGTCAAGTGACACATTTTGGTAAATGGATTCTAAGTGGAAGTGACATTGACACTTTGCAGTAGGAGCTTTAAGAGCCATAGCAAAACTCTGCCAAGTATTTTCATCTCTAAGCCATGAAGAACTGCAGGCCATGCATTCATACTTGGTCTTAGGTGAAAAGATCACGTGCCACAGAATGGATGAAGATCTGCTGCTTGGAACCACAGACAGATGAACCTTAGTTTGTTAGTCACTGACACATGGGTTGATTGCTGCCACAAAATACTCTAGTGGAAGCTAATAAAAATTGCACTGGGCAATGTCCTGGGATGCTTGCTGTTCACTGATTCATCTCCCACACGCCAGTGTGAATTTTTGTCATAAAGCCTTGTAATGGAGCCAGCAGGAGATAATTCCATCATGCTCAGTTGGTTGCCAGTCCATGACTCCACCACCCTCTGTTCCATCATCTTAAAGAAGATTAGATAGTTCATTTTAGGATGCAAGAGACTGCTTGAGCAAGAACTAATATTTGTATTTAAAAAATAAAACTATAGTTATAGGTGAATATACTGTAGCAAATTTGGAAAAGAGAAAATGTAAAAATGACATAAAATGAAAACAGTTTTCTCATCCAAATATGTAATTTTTAAGAATACTTCTGCCAGCTGCCAGATGTGGTAGCCCAGGCCTGTAATCCCAGAAGCTTGGGAGGCTGAGGAAGGAGGATTGCAATTTCAAAGCCATCCTCGGTAACTTATCAAGGCTGTAAGCAACTTAACAAGAATCTGTCTCAAAATAAAATATTTTTAAAAAAGGGCTGGGGATGTTGCTCTGTGGTTCAGTGCCCCCAGGTTCAATCTCTGGTAACAACAAAAAAAGAATATATCTGCCAACTTTTTTTGCATGTTTATATAAAACTTAAACACATCCACATATACCACATACATTTTAATGTAATGCTTTTTTAGCTTTACATTTTATTTTTATGAATATCTGTGCCTAATTAGTGCCTAAATTAGTATTTTTGTGAATGTTTGATTTGTTTGTTATACCTGAGCATATCATTTTGTTTAAATTGTCTACTAAGATTATAAAAATTAACAATACATGCATGTAAGAAACATTTTTAATTTGAAATCTTGGATAATATCTGTACTTCTCAATAGCTAAAGATATTATTTAACTAGATGAGACTAAAATATGCCCTGTGTTCTGTCATTGGAAATGTTTTCTCATCACAGGATAGTTCAAGGTCAGTTGTGGAAAATGTATTCCACAAAAGCCCTAGATAGAAGAAAGTACTCCTGTCTCCTGGTGTAGAATGCAGGACTGTCTGCTCTGTGTCTTTATCCCTTTTATTCTGATTTCTTTTTCTCCCCCTTCCCCCATACTTATCTGACTTAAAGAGTGATGAGAAAGTGAAAAACAGTGCTGGCAATGGGTATATAAACCATAATATTCCCAAATGAACAGAATATTTTTTGTTAGAACATAATAAGAACCAGACAAACCAGTCCATAACCGGCCAACCAGAGACAAAGTCTCCCTCGAATCCCTAACCCAACTCAACAAGCCGCTGTCCAAGCTGACATGGACAATCCCTTCCTCTTGAGCAGGCTACAGGCTCACCTAATCACCTTCTCAGGATCTCCTACCAAAGCTCAAATCATTCCTCAGCCTTTCCCTGTCTCCCTTTGAGATCTCACACAGAAAAACAACCCAGGGCACTTGAGGTGGGATGTGGTGGTCTTTGACAAGCAGACTTGCCATTGTCTGCATCTGCTGTTTTCAGGCACTGGTCCTGTACTGGGGTCCCTTATAACCCACTTTGTTTACCTCCAGGTGATGGATTAAATGATGGTCAGTGGCATTCTGTGTCCTTATCTGCTAATGGGAATCATTTGAGCCTGAAGGTGGACAATGATGTATCCTCTGCTGCCCATTCCCTGCGTGGGCAGATTCATTCTGCTAATACCTATTATTTTGGGGGTAAGTAAAAGGCACAGGATATATTAATCAAACCTTCTTTGTGTCTTCCACATTCCAAGGTGACTGGTATTGCTAAATGAAAACTGATATTTTAGAATGATTTTTCTCTTTCAGTGATAGTCAGTTGGGAATTTTGATGGACAAAGACAATAAATTGTAGCCTAAAATGCAAGTCTACTCATTGATCTTATTTAAATGTGCACTAATGTGATTGATTTTAAATAGAGCTTCCTCTTGGGAGTTGTTCTCAACTACAGCTGCACGTGGCAATCTACTGGAAAGCTTCAAAAATGCTGGTGCAGGGCTGGGGTCATGCCACAGTGGTAGAGCACTTGCCTAGCATATGTGAGGCACTGGGTTCCATTCTCAGCACCACATATAAATAAATAAAATAATAGGTCCATCAACAACTAAAAAAACATGCTGGTGCTGAGTTAACTAATCTTGTGTCCTGAGCCACAGGTTTTTTAAATGCCCTTCAGGTGATTTTAATGTGAAGACAATGTGGAGCATCCTTGTTGTCTATTTCTAACCCTTATCACAAGGAATTTCCCTAATCCTCAAAGGCTGTTACAACCTTTCGTTTTGATTTCATTTGTCAACATTATTACTGCATAGTTGCTTTATTCTGACTGCTGGCTCCTCCTCTCCCTGGAATGTTTCTTCAGCAACACCTGAAAGCTTGCTGGAAATGCTGACTCATTGCCCCTCACCTTCTGCATCATGATCTGCATGTGACCAAGATCCCAGGTGGTCTTCAGTACTTTAGAGTTTAAGAAGCCATCTATATGGAAGGGCACTATTATGTACAATAGAGCAAGATATTGTCTATTAATTTTTCTACTCTTGTTTAGCAATGCATTTTACCAAGATAACACCAGGCCATATCCTCTGGGCTCCAGTAAATGGAGCATTTGCTTGCTGGATGGGTCTTCGATTTAGTTCATCCAGGATCCCTTCAGCCAGCAAGATAGTGCCTCTGAGGGTAATGAATCTCTATCCCTGGGGTAGTCAAGTGAAAAATTTTTGCCACTAGATGCTTGGACCTGTCAATAGTAAGAGTTATGTCTAACCTTGGCTTAATGCCTTTCTTGATATTATTCCTGTTTTGCATTTTATAGTTGTTCCTTTCTAAAATAAGATTGGAATCATGATGGAGATAGCTTTCCAGCCCAAAAAAGAAAATATAAAACCCTCTCTAAGAATTGACAATGGAAACACAAACCATGAATCCAGTTGTTTAATCTTTCAAGTTTCCTAGAGCAACCATGACTGCAAGAGGTAAAATAGTGTCAACACCCTTAAACATTGGACTGTGTACTTTTCTTGTTTGCTAAATATGGTACATTTCTGATCCTGAGAGGGTTTTACAAGATGTTTGCTATTTATGAAATATTTTATAGCTCTGCAGAGAAACAAATTCCTTCAATACCAAAATGAGAATTTATACAAGAACTATAATTCAAAGGGTAAAAAATTCTGAAGCACTAAAAGGGATAGGAAACAAAATCCTGGCTGTATTGTTTAATGATACAAAATAAAGTACACTGGAGAAAAATGCTTTCAGATCACAGAATCATCTTTCATATTTTAACACATATTCAGAATATGCAATGCACAGAGCCATGAGCATAAGTACTTTCCATAAATATTTACACACTGATGTGATATGAATTGTTACTGGGAAAACTACCACATTCACACATTTATACAGCATTACTAATATTTCTTAAAAGCCTATAGAATGCAACATTATAGTATTTTTGAAGCTTCTCTTACTTCCTTCAAACTCATCTCCCAGGGAGTTATTATCTTGCACTTCGTAGGTTTATCATCTATGTAAGTAATTTTAAGTAGTATTTTATTTTGTGCTGGTCCACTTTTAACTTAATACATAGGGTAAGACTGTGCATTCTTCCATGACTTCCTTTTATTCTTCTTCATTACTTTCTGAGATCCAGCCATGTATATGTGAATTGGCAAACTTAATTAATTTTTACTGCTGCATGGTTTTCAATGAATATTTTATCATAGTTTACTTATCTATTCCACTGTCTCTTTTTACTATTGATACATGTTTTGATTGTTTCCATATTTACTATTTTTTAAAAAAAATATTAATAATTCTTGTACAGTTGCTAAGAATCATCTTACCAGTGATTTTTAAAATTTTCTTTATGTACCATATTATGGTGCTCAAATGTAGAGTTAGTTCAGTGAAGCAGAAGTGACATACTGCAGTTTAAGTGACATGTACTGGTTGTTAAGTTGCATTCATTAGAACTCACATAAGTTGTGCACACAGACCTAGCTTTTGGTTCCTCCAATATATTCGACAGGACCCTAGAGATCTGGAGTTAAAACAGGCCTTTCTTGTGCATTTTCATAATATTTTATTGTTAGACACAAAAAATTTATTGCTAATATAGTTTCCAATGAGAAACTGTTTCCCTAAGATGAGCGAAATTACAGATTATAAACATCCTAACAGGGAGGGGAGCTTGATAACTTTTCTTCATTATGACTTAACAGTCTTTCTGTTATAATTGCAAATTGGCACTTAGTTGCAAAAATATTTTCAGAATTTGCGATCCCAGCACTTTATTCCTAAGAAATGTATAAATATAGAGTGACCTCTATATGCATGGCTGTAAATAACCAGCTAATTCCCACAGTACAATTTTAGACACTAATTCAGACTTAGTCCTCTATAGATATTATGCCAATGTAAATGTATCTTTTTTTTCCCCTGAAGAAAAAATATATAATATTTAGCAAACTGAAGTACTGCTTTCATCAGGTAAAAACACACATGCAAATAAATACTCAAACATATCAGTTTGCTAATTTTTTTTAGATTAAAAAGGTATCTATTATTTGTACTCCCAGGAAACCCAGTAGAGAAAATGTAGGATGAATAGATATGGAGTTCTGGCTTTTAGTAGATATATTATACTCAGAACTTTAATGCATGGGTGTTCCAGGTTTGTTCTGGGGCCACTCAGCTTCATCTTGAGAGGAACTCCACCCTGACAACCCCAGAATTAGGGTTATTTTAGGCAATCACAAGAGTAGTTGGTGTCAGTGTTTCTGTTCATTTAATTCTCTTTTTAATTAGTGTCCATTGGTGCCAGAATATGTTTGACACTGAACAAGGAAATTTACTTCACCCAGTTCACACACTGTCACAACAACTGGGCTAATAAAGTGTTCCTGGGTCCACTAAGTGGAAGTCAGTTAATGACATTGATTCTTCAAAGAAATCAATATCCTGTGGTCTGAGACACTCTACAACCAGTTCTCTTCCCCTTTATTTCCTAATGTAAGCTTAACCCCTTATTCCCAATTATGTTATAGCTATAGTCAACCAAATTTTGTTAGTACTTCACCCTAAAAGCATATATGTGTGCCTTGCTATTATAGTTAGGGTGACAGTAAATTTATTGTCCAAACCAGGACACTTTAGAGAATGAGAGGGATGATACGAGTAATTATGAAAGGACAGCAACATAAACCAAGACCTTCTGGTGGCATGGAACTATTTGCTATGTTATCTGCTATATTTTGGTCTGGATGTCTCAGTATGCAGCTTTCTTCTTGTGAGAGAGATTCACCTACTCAACAGTGTTTTAGTCAACTTTGTGTTGCTGTGACTAAAAGACCTTGCCAGAATAACTTAAAGGAGGAAAAAGTTTTATTCTGGCTCCTGGTTTCAGAGGTTCAGTCATGGTCAACTGACTCCATACCTCTGGACCCAAGTTGAGGCAGAACCTCATAGTAGAAAGCCATGACAGAGGAAAGCAGCTCACAGTAGTCAGGAAACAGAGAGCTGTACTTACTAGGGACAAAATATAATCCCCAAAGTCATGCCCCCGGTGACCTACTTCCTCTAACCAACATCCTACCTGCCTACAGTTACCACCTAGTTGGTCCATATTAGTGGATGAATCCATTAATTAGGTTGTAACTCTCTATCATTTCACTTAGAACATTCTTATATTGTCTCACAGATGAGTGTTTGGGGCCACCTCATATCAAAACCATAACAAATAGCAGTATTTTTTATTTCTCACATTAGAACTCTGATTTAATTATCTTTTTCTCAGCCTAAGTATGTGTGTGTGTGTGTGTGTGTGTGTGTGTGTGTGTGTGTGTGAAGTGTTCTTCAAATAGCTGTTTCTCCATAGCATATTGTATTTTTGGTGCCTGCTATTGGGGGTGACTAAAAGTTAAAAATTCCCTGCTACAGGATCTTTGTACTATTAATTAACAGATTTTTTACCACAGAGTTGGGAATACTAAATTATGTTCAAAGGTGCCAAACCCACCATGTGTGAAACATGAGGGGACCACTCTGTAACAAAGTCTCACTCTGCTGACCTCTTTCTGGTACAGTGGCATAAAGTATCAGGTCCTCTTGTGTTCCTCACAGGAACTTAATCATGATGACGCTCCTCAGTAGTGAAAGATACATTTTATTATTTGTACAGTAAGCATCCACTTCCCTATTTACACCTTTAATCTCAAATGAGGTGCCTAATGAAGAAACCTCCACCATTTTACCTTTTGTATGGGCTTGGGAGAAACCTTCTGCATGAAGAAATGGAACATTCCTGGCTTTTGCTGGCTTTGAATCTCAATTTCCCTTCCTTTTCTACTTCTCTCTCTGTTGTGACTAGTGAGCCATATACCTAGTGGCTTGACCTTCTTCTTCTTTAAAATTCTACATTAAGAAATGTTTATTATAATTATTGGACGTGGTTTAATTTTATTCCTAAAAGAAAAATATACCACATTTTATTTTGGAATAGTTTGAGGTCTATGATCTATATAAAAGGGAAATAAGCAGAAAAGAAATACTAGTGATTCTTTTTTATAATTTTGATTTGTTATATATGTCAACATAATACATTACAATTCATATTACACATATAAAGCACAATTTTTCATATCTCTTGTTGTACACAAAGTAGAGTCACATTCTTCTTGTCTTCTTACAT